TGATGATGATGACGACGACGATGACGATGACGATGATGATGATTATTGGTATTATTATTATTATTAGTAGTAGTATTAGTAGTAGTAGTAGTAGTAGTAGTAGTAGACGTAGTAGACGTAGTAGTAGTAGTAATAGTAGTAGTAGTAGTAGTAGTTTGATTAGGGTACTATGTTACATATATTTGTTGTAATTAAATCGATCATAAATATACTAAAAAAAAGACACGCCAACACATGCAAACAATGAAACAAACACAAACACATACAATCACAGACATACAAACACAGACATACTAACTCAGACTCAAAATCACAGACTTAAAAACACAAACATACAATCACAAACATACAATCACAGGTATGCGAACTCAGACATACAAACACAGACATACAAACACGGATATACAAATACAGACATCAACATTCGCCTGACTCTAGCTTCCTTCGAAATTTTCGGAAAAAATTTAAATCCTATTAGTTTGATACATACATACAAACGCTGGCATACAAACTCTACCCTACATATACAAGCATACAAACTCCATCAAACAACTACAAACACAACCACAGACATACAAACAAATAATCAAATTGTATGTTTTCGTCGCACGAGGCAAGCTGCTTTACTGGATGGCAACACACAAAGTGCATGCATGCAAATACACGTGAAACATCGTATCACACAAATTGCATGTGATAGGACGGGATATGTTTGCAATCGAAACCCGTCCTTGCGACAGTAGTGCCACCATCGTATGGCCCATATATGTATGTAGGTATGTGTGTATGTGTGGTTTATAATGGGTTTTGGTTCATTAGAAAATATTAGTCTTTGTGTATGTGTGAATGTGCGTATGAGTATGTGCTTTTGTGTGTATTACATCGTTTCGTTTCGTTTCGTTCCGTTTCGCCTAGTCTCGTTTCATATGTACGTGCGCTGATGCGAAACCAGTCTGCTGTGTTTTAGTTGGTCCTGATGGAGCTGTCATTTGATCCTAAAGTTATTTCCTCTTATCCCCCCCACTCTTTCTCTCTCTCTCTCTCTCCCTTTCGCTGTTCTTCTTTCTCTCTTTCTTTGTATCTCATTTTGACTCCATTTCTCTCTCTCTCTCCATCTATCTATCATCATTCAAATACATTGATTGATCGATCATCCCACATTCTTTCTTTTCTATCTTTGTTCGTTTTTATTAGTTCTATTATTCGTTTTTAGTTTAAGATCTCTTAGTTTTAAGTTTTACATACATTTTCGTTAGTATTTCAAAAAATTTAATTATTTTTGGGTGGAATTATGGTGATTTATAGCACTTTTTGATGAAAAAATAAAATACATAATGATCAAACAATGAGATTAAACATAATTCAAAAAATATATTAAGTTTGTTTTAATTTATTACTACTTAATTCCTTTTTATTATGATATATATGATGAACAATTGCCATTATTAAATACTTTTAACTTAGTTTTACTTTTATTAACTTCAATTTTTATCTAGATTCACTTTTGTCGTTGTTTGTAAACAGAAATGCGTGTGTTCTTGACATTGCTTGTTGCTTTCGAAGTTAATTTGAGTGAAAAATGTCAGATTAGTGATCCGGAGTTTACAAAAATTATATTTCTAAGTTGAATTTAGATAATATTTATTATATAAGCCGTAATTAGAGTAATCCGCCATTTAAAAAGAAAAGACTTGTTTCTCCAGTAGTTTTGTTTAATTAAATAATTTTATTTTAATTAATAATTAATAAATTTAATTAAATTTAAAAACTTTTAAATTAAAGTTTAAAATTTTAAAATAGTTCAATTTCTTAATCGAAAATTTACGAATTTTCAATTTCAAGATCAAAATTTGACTGAATAATAAAATGTCCGGAGAACAACCAACACATGCTGTAAACGTAAAGTCTGGTGCCAAAGCCAAACCATCACTGCCCCAGCCGACGTCGACCAGTTTATTTAGGGCTTTAAATTTCGAGTTATTTGTCAAACCGGTTACTAGTTATAATTTCTATTTAAATAAATTTTTTTTCTAATAAGACTTATTTTATTTCAAAATTTAACATTTTTATTTTAATTAAAAATATTTATAAATCAGTATTAATATCCCTCAACCAAAATCAGAACAAATTAGTTATGGCTGCCGGGGTACTAGCATTTTCCTCGTGTTTGGGGTACATCATATACTGGAGGGCCACAGGGCAGCATAAGTTGGACACCTATATGGCCCTTAACGAGAAAGGAGAGCTCGAAAAAACCATCAGAACTTCAAGATGGGATTAAAATGGGATAATTTTTCATTCGGTATTTTTATGCCGTGTTCATTAATTTATTTGTGTGTTTATTCATTTATTCACTCATTCATTCAGTCACTCATTACTCACTCACGGTCTTTTTTATTTTTTTATACTTTTTTGTATGAAAAAATAAAAAAAATGAATAAATGTCTACTATACTTGTTTGCTATGACTTTTTAACAAAATATTAATATAATTAATATTATTATTAATAATATAATTAATAATATTATTAATAATATAATTAATAATATTATTAATAATATTATTAATAATATTATTAATAATATAATTAATAATATTATTAATGTTAGAACTTTGATAAAGTCATTTTAATGTAGCTTGCATTGGTCATCATTTTGATGTTGCAATCTCCATCATCGTCGTCGTCGTCATTATTGTTGTTGTTATTCTTGCTATCGTTATCTTCGTCAAAATTATAACCACCATCATCATCGTCATCGTACTCGTACAAATTGAAAAGTTCTTTGAGGGTGATGTGGTTGTTAGTTTCATTTCTACCACCATCGTCGTCGTCGTCATCATCACAGCCACAGAAATCATTACTATTACCTTCGACGACTTCATCATCATCGGCATATTCGTCGTCTTCTTCGTGGTCATCACCACCATCATCATCATCAAGGCATTCATTATTGTCTACTGCAACATCATGGTTATCGTCATTAGCCAAATGGCTAAAAAATTTGTCTATGTTATCATCAACAGCCTTGAAGTGCTCGCTAAAGTCTTCGACCTTGGTATTTTCAAGGTAGTTGTCTTCAAGGTCATCGTTATCTAGGTCATCGTTATCTAGGTCATCGTTATCTAGGTCATCGTTATCTAGGTCACATTTATAGTCGTCTGAAATAATATTATTATTATCATCCATGTCAAGGTTTTTATTGTAAAAGTCAAGGTTGTCATTATCCTGATCGAATGCGTCACTATTGGCATCAAAGGCCTTACTGTCTAGGCCAGTGTTGTCATTGTCTAGGTCAAATGTGTTATTCAGGTCAAATGTGTTATTCAGGTCAAATGTGTTATTCAGGTCAAATACAGCCTCTAGGTCAAGGTTGTTTTTGAGGTCAAAGTCGCCTGTAGTAGTAGTACTAGCAGTGGCGGTTGTCGTGGCGTTCGGAAGTTTTTGGCGTGGTTTAGGAAATTTTTGCAGTTCTTTGGTGTAATGCTGTCGTCGAAGGTGGTGCTGAATGTAGTTGCGGTGGCCGGCTTGATTATTGTAGTTGTGGTGATGTGGCTGTTGTAGCGGCTGTTGTGGCTGTTGTTGTTGTACATGCTGAAGACGATGATTATGTGTACGATTAAGATTGATAATACTGATAATTTTAATAGTAGTAATAATAATAGCAATACTAAAAAAATATTTAAAATAACAATGATTATAAGAATAATTATAATTACGATACAAAATTATAATTAAAAATACCGCAAGTATGTCAGTATTGTTTGGCTTGTCGAACTGCATGATGGTGAAAAAATTATCTATGGCCGATAGGACCCCATACATTCTCATCTGAGTCTGCCTTCTAGAAAGTTCGTGAAGCCTGTGATGATGGCGACGATGATGATAATAATAAATATTGTTAATTATTAATATTCATTATAATTTTAATAATTATTATTTTTATTTTTATTAACCTTTTCTGTTCCTCGGCGTCTGATATGGGAAGGGGTAGACGTGTATTGATCGGCTGCAGATGGACGACATTCGTTTGGTGTGTGTTGTGGCCGAAGTTCTGATAGCGATGGTGATTAAAAATAATAATAACAATTTTGAATATTTATTTTATTATTATTTTTATTATGGACCCCACAAAAGCTAACGTCTGCATGGCTCGTCTTTGGACTTTCACCTCTCAGTATCCTGCTAGATTTGCTCATGAGATTCTCTCTAAACTGTCTGATGATGATGATAATATTAATAATAATTAATAACTAAATAATAGTAACACGTAAACAAACAAACCTGGCGTTTTCGGCTTTAATCCTACTAGCTTTAGTATCTTTAAAGACCATCGGTAAAGCGCTAAAAAATCTCTGATAATATTCAATTTTTTGAGGCGCTAAAACCGGATAAAGCGCGCGGAAATTGCCCAAATTGGCGCGCTCGAATTCGGCTTGTTCTATAAATAACTCTTCGCGTTCTTTAACGTTTTGGATGTCATTACATTTTTTTTTGGCTCTGTTTTTAAAAGGAAAAGGTGGGGTGAGGGTTTACCTTTTGGGGTGGATTTTTTTTGTAGCGTAATTATTGATTGTTGTTATGGTGGATATTATCATTATTATCATTATATTTTAATATAATATATATACTTTTATATAAGTCCTGGACAATTTCTAAAGAAATGGAAAAAAAGATTAACGCTTCTGAGATGTGGATTTTGAGTGTGATGGAAAATTAGTTGGACCTCTCATACTTCGAATGAAGATGCATTAAAACAGTCCGGTTATGAAATGAGGAAATTTCTACAGATAATCCGACGGGGGCAGTTAAAGCTTTTTGGTCAAATCATGCGGAAAGACAGAATGGAAAATCTAACAACTACTGGAAAGATTGCAGGGAAAAGAAATCGCGGTCAACAACAACGTATAACATTCGTAAAGTCCTTGTGTCACTTGTTGAATATCACCACATTTCAACTACTACAAAGTCTTAAAGATCGAGTTTTTGTGGAGGTCGTTGGTCGCCAATGTCCTGAAAGGATAAGGCACGAGAAAGAAAGAGACACTTTTATATTAATAATTTTCGATATTTTTTTCATCGTCTGTATCATCGTCATCATCGTCGTTATTATTATTATCATTATTATTATTATCATTATTATCATTATTATTATTATTATTTAAAGTACTAACAATAGTTGGAAGGTTTTTTGGGCCGGAGTCAGCCTGCAGGTCACATACTTCCTCTTCTCCTCCAAGCATTTCTTCTTATCGATTCTGGGAAAAATGTATTATTATTATTATAAATAGTAGAAGTGGTAGTGCTAGTAGCAGTTGTAGTAGTATCAGTAGTAGTAGGTAGTAGTAGTATCAGTAGTTGTAGAAGTAATAGCGGCAAAAGCAGTAGCAGCGTTTGTAGTTGCAGCAGTAGTAGTAGCAGCAGTAGTAGTAGTGGCAGTTGTAGTAATAGAAGTAGCAGCTGTGTAGTAGTTGTTACTAACCTGTTGAAATCGATCATGCGTAGCGTATCGAATATCAGTCCTTCCTTGATCTCTCTATCCAGTGGTGTATCCATTGCAAAACTGGGCGAGTGATTTACCTAACAATAATAATAATAATTAATAATAATTATTATTATTGTTATTATTGCTGTATATTTTAATAATTATTTGTTCAAACTCGGATAAATAACGGTTATCAAGGCTTAATGTTAATAATACTTCTAAATATAATATTGATACCGGTTATATTTCTATTACTACTACTACAAAAATACCGCTACTGCTGCTGCTACTACTACTGCTACTACTACTACTGCTAACTACTACTAATACTACTAACCTCGAGTAGAAACGGTTTCAAGTCTTTATCGAGTAGTATATCGAATCCGAGGATTTCGAAACAGGCGGAGCTGATGGTGTGCCTGAGGAAGAGACTGATGTGGTTTCGTTTCAAAACCGAACATATCGATATTATCGTTTTGATTATGATGTCGTCAATTTCTGAAATTAACCTGGAAAGGAGTGATTGTTTGGCTAGTTGATTGATTGATTGGTTGGTTAATTGGTTGGTTGGTTGATTGATTGATTGATTGATTGATTGATCGATTGATCGATTAATCGATTGATTAATCGATTAATTGATTGATTGATTGGCTGGATATTACTTTTTAACGTCCTTCCCTTCGCCCTCAAGAATGTTGTAAATAGTTGACAGCCTTCTAGAAAAATAAAAAATACAATAAAAATTACAACAATAAACAACAACAACAATAATAATAATTAATGATAATAATAATAAACAATAATAGTGATAATAAAACCTTTTATTCCCAGAATCTTCGTCCGTGTTGAAATCCTTACTTCTCTTGTTTATGGAGTAATTCGTCAGGTGCATAAAGACGTTGTCCTGGTTTTTAATTATTTTAAGTTTTCTTTCAAGAACCTGATTTATTAATGTAATGTAGAAATTCAAAGAATACTTAGGCGTAGATAATTATATAAGATGTGATTTACGTCCCCCTCCCCTTCAAGTCACTTTTTGAGGTACATAAAGTGACGATTTATTATCGTGAAAAAAGTTTGATTCTTTCTTCTTCTTTCTACAGTCTACGGTAACATCTTTCTGAAAATTTTAAATGGGCCAACTTTGTCCATTTTACTTCGATCGAGTTTACTCCCACTCTGGACATAGACCTGATCATCCACTTTAAATTCCTATTCTTGACGATTTTTGTCAACTCACTTCATGTTAATTTAAATTTTCATCATTTCTGTTTCGTCATCTGATTGGTGGTTAGTATCGTGCATATTAATTTCTCTTTTTGACGAGTATAGATTCATGTTTCTACATTTTTATGACGTATGGTGTGGAATTTTCCAGCCTAATTCTTCACACATAAAACATTGTTTTTTTTCTGTGGTGTTTAATCTGACAAAATTTTTTTTATTTAGAGCATCATTTTATTATTTCGGCTTGATTTTAAAGAGGCATTCATCAATTTTTGTTAATTCTATAAACAGTTTCTCAACGGTCGTCATTTCTTCTCCATCAAGCTGGTTTTGTATTTCTACTGGAAGGCCCATAACGATCATGTTTATTCTCGACAGTGTAATAGCGTCTATTTCAATTTCTAAACATAGATTTTCTTTTGCTAACGCGTAGAACCACCTTAATATTTGAAATTTTTTTATTTTTCTCCAACCTTTATCTGTAAAAATGGTCAGAAAAGATTTTTTCAAATTTGGCCATTTAGTTAATCCGATCTTTTTTTTAAATTTGTTTCGTACCAGTCCTCCGTTGACCCAGATAAGAAGAAGATCACCCAACTAATCAATCAATCAATCGATCGATCGATCAATCAACCAACCAATCAATCAATTACACCTAACTAACTATGTTATTTTTGTTCGGCTGTTGGTACGGAACGGTTGCGAACCTAGCTAGGCCTTCGTTGTAAACATAGATTCGCAGCGGATCGCAACATGTTACCAGCACATATATCCGCAGATCAAATTTTAAATTGTCAACCAAATACGGCTGTGGTTGAATGATTGATTGGTTGGTTAGTTAGTTGATTGATTGGTTGGTTTGCTGGTTAATTGATTGATTGGTTGGTTTGCTGGTTAATTGACTGATTGGTTGGTTAATTAATTGATTGATTGATTAATTGGTTAATTGATTAATTAATGAATAAATTAATTAATTGATTAATTAACCGATCAATCAGATCAACACACGAATCAAATTTCAAACATTTCTTGAAAGTCTGCATTGTTTGTATTTAACTTTTGAATGAATGATTGACAACTACAATACTACTCTACTGCTACCACCACTACTACCACTACTACTACCACTACTACTACTAATAATAATAATAATACCCTGCTAATGTAGTGCTGACAAAGAACGTGTTCTCCGTTCGTTTCTACCTTTGTGTTCCTGGCCAACCGAATTCCTTTACCTAATTATTATTATTATTATTTAATTATAATAATAATAATATTATAATTATTTTTATTTATTAATTATTAATTATTATTATTATTATTTGTTATCAATTCTATAGTATTGCATTCCCAATCGCATAGTATTAACGATGTGCGGTATTGACATGTTTGTATTGTTTTGTGTTTCACATTTGCACCGCATTATGATGTGACGTTTATTGTATTGTATAGCATGTATTGTATCGAATCGTCTCGTCTCGGTATTGTACCGTACAGTACCGTACCGGTATTACACCGTACCGTATCGTGTCGGTATTTTCCGTATCGTATCGTGTCGGTATTATACAATACCGTATCGTGTCAGTATTTTTCGTATCGTATCGTGTCGGTATTATACCATACCGTATCGTGTCGGTATTTTCCGTCTCGTATCGTATCGAATCGCATTGTACTACCTTGGCAGTTGTTTTCAGGCTTGAGAATGAAGATCGATCTCTTACGGTGCCTTGTGTACGTTCGAAATTCTGAAAAACTGGTGATGATGTTGAAGTGATGGTCATTACGCTGATGGTGATGGTCATCGTTATCTTCATCATCATCACTGCCATCATCTTCATCATCATCATCATCAACGCCATCATCATCATCAACAACAATAGCAAACTCGGCCGGGAGATAAAATGTCTTTGGAAAGAAATTATATTCTTTGGGAAATAATTTAAGCGCCCTGTTCAAATTTCGCGCCAGGAGGTCTTTCCGGCAAATTTCTAGCATTCCCGGAAAATGATTGACTTTCTGCGATTGGTGGAATGATGATAGTGATTGTGATCAAAAAGAGAGTGAGGGAGAGACTAACTTTTTAAGAGTTTTTCGTATTTATAAATTTCGACAAATGCTTGTGTATAGGGAAGAAAGAAAGACAAAAGGTAGACAAAAAAAGAGAAAAAAAGAGACGGAGGGAAAAAAAAGAAAGGAAAAAATAGAGAGAGAGAAAGAGAGAGAGAGAAAGAAAAAGAGAGAGAGAGAAAGAGACAAACACTTGAAACAGTTTCATATTCTGAAGTTTCAAGTTTGGCACCAATCTGGGAATGGCAGAGAGAGAGAGAGAGAGAGAGAGAGAGAGAAAAAAAGAAGAGAGAGAGATAGAAGGAGAGATAGAAGGAGAGATAGAACGAGAGAGAGAAAGAGAGAAAGTGAATAAAACAGAAGTAGAGAGAAAGAAAGAGAGAGAGAGAAAGAGACAAACAAACTTGAAACTTCTTCATGTCCATAAGTTTCGACAAAGGAACGCAAGAATCTGACCACAATAAATTCCATTCATCTAACTCGTTGACCAGCCTGAAGCCGAACCTCTGAGAGGCTGAGTGCACTTTTTAATTATAACCATAATTATAATAATTATTATTATTTATTAGTTTTAATTATTAATTTAATTATAGTTTGTGATTAATTCAATAGGTCAATTTAGTGGTTTGTTTTCAAACTGCTGAGGTTGTTGATGAATTAATATGTTTTTTTTAATAGATTGTTCGTTTGTTTATTCATTTGTTCGTTAATTAATTTATTTATTTACTCATTCATTCATTCTTTTATTTATTTAGTTATTCATTCGTTCATTCATGCATTCGTTCATTCATTTATTCATTCATTCATTCGAGCAATCATTCCTTCATTAACCGGCTTCATATTTGCAGTTGGACAAACATGCTGTCAGCTGACTTATATGAATAAATATTTTGTAACATAATATTATTTGAATATAAAAAAATCAATAAACCAATCAATCAACCAATTAATCAATCAATTAATCAGCAAATCAATCAGTCAGTCAATCAATTAATTGATCAATCAAGCAGTAAGCAATGTTGTCAATCCGTGAGTCAGTTGGTTAGCTAGGCAACCAATTGTTCATTCATCTAGTGTTTCAATCATTCGTGCCTACGTTCATTCGTTCATTCATTTATTCATTCGTTCGTTCGTTTGTTCGTTCGTTCATTCATTCATTTATTCATTCATTCATTTGATCATTCAATCAATCAACATACTGTCTCTTCCGTCTTATCTTCTTCAGCAGATTAGCGCCATTGCTGTCTTTCGTCGTCTTCGTCCTACATTCATCTTCAAATTAATAATAATAATAATAATAATAACAATAATAATTAATAATAATTGATAATAATAATAACAACAATAATTAATAATAATAATAACCATTGTCATTATTCATCGTCGTCGTCCTATAATTATTGTTATAATTATTATCAATATTATTATTATTGCTGATATTATTATTGTTTTGTTGTTATTATTATTATTATTATTATTATTAAATACGATTATGATGATGATTTCGTAAATAAATGCATTTAAAATACGACGCCCATGTTTACCATGGCATGTTGGAAAAAAAATATAAACAAACATACATGCTGGTGGTCGCATTTTATTATTATTATTATTATTGTTATTATTATTCGTAGTAGTATTAGTAATAGTAGTATTAGTAGTAGTAGTGGTAGTAGTAGTAGCAGCAGTGGTAGTAGTAGTAGTAGTAGCAGTGATAGTGGCTGTCGTAATATTAGTAATAGCAGCTGTAGTAGTAGTAGTAGAAAGAGTGGTAGTAGTGGTAGTAGTAGCATCAGTAGTAGTAGTAGTAGCAGTAGTAAAAGTAGTTGTAGTAGTAGAGTAATCGTAATGCTATTAACAATAACAATGTCCAACAACCGCTACAACAACAGTGAATAATATTATTATTATTAATTATAATTAATAATATTATTATTATATTAATATTATTATTTCAAAAGTTATAAGTCTATAACATGTTTATTTTCAAGTCTGTATGAATAACTTCAACCGGAAAGATATCAACACAAAAATATAAGAATCTTATTATTATTATTCTTATTATAATATTAATATAATAATAATATTATAATAAAATTATTATTATTGTTAATATTGAAATAAAAAAAAACTCAAATATACAAACAAATTAGATGAAAATACTTCTCAGGGCGTTAAAGAGTTAAATTAAAGACAAAAAGTATATTCTTTATTGAAGTATATACACACACATTCATACATACACACACACACACACACACACACACAACACACACACATACAAACAAACATGACCGAGTGAAAGAATGTATCTTAAAAAAAGCCAACGATTGGGTTGTGTAGCTACATTGGAAGAAAGACGAAATCTCACAACGTACATAAAAAAAAGAGGCATGAAACCTAACGAGTTGGTGGCATCTGAGAAGACAAATTCAGTTTTCGTTATTGAACTAACCGAGTCATACGAAGATAACATACTCAGTAGTCACGATAACATACTCAGATGTACGAACAGCTGATTCAAGATTTAAACAAGAGAGTATATAAAACCAGGTCCTACGCTGTTAAAACTGGTGCAAGAGGAGCAATGGGAGTGTCGATGTTTGCAATTTTCAAAGAGTTGGGACTGTCAGGCAGAAAGAGCACAGCATGCCTGAAAAAAGTTATTAGTAGCGTAGAGCAAGCTTCGTACCGGTTGAGGCTGAATAGAAATAAAAAAGAATGTCTGCTGATTTAGCAAGCCATGGCTATAGTGATACGACTTTGTATAAAAGTTTAAAGAGGAATTTTGGTTTAAATAGCAGATCAACATTGCTGGAAAATTAACAGACATTCAGAAGCGTTCGAGAATGTAAGAGGTTGTTAAGGGCGAAAACAATTGTCGACGGACATTCCTTCTCTGATATTCTCACATACACACACACACACCAAATGACTCATCAGCACATCCCTATTTTTCACTAAATTCCGTAATTAGAGAAATAAAAAACGTCCTCGAGGCACTCCCCAGTCACGTGGTGGCAGAGGTGACCGCGGGGACACTTGCAGCGGTTCAGACAGCGTCTGCCATATCTTCCTATCCGACATTCTGTTGGATGATTGGTTGGTTGGTTGGATGGTTGGTTGGTTGGTTGATTGGTTGGTACTACTACTACTACTACTACTACTACTACTACTACTACTACTACTACTACTGCTACTACTACTACCACTACTACCACCACTACTACTACTAACTTTTGGCGCAGTTCTTGCCGCGATAGCCAACAGGACAGAAGCACCTCCCAGTTCTGTAGTCGCACGGTCGCTGTGGTCTGCATCTACATTGCTGGCGACACTCAGGTCCATACCTCCCAAACATGCATGCATCTGATCGTGATGGTGAGGTGTGGTGTGGTGTAGTGTGGTGTGGTGTGGTGTAGTGTGGTGAAGTGAGGGGATGATGATGATACAGTAGTGATGATGCTGATGGTGGTTATTAAATAATTAGTCAAACAACCAATCAAGCAATCAATCAACTATTCAACCAGTCAACCAACCAACCACCAACCAATCAACCAATTAACCAATCAAATAACCAACCAATCAACAAATCAATCAACCAACCAACAAATAAACCAACCAAACCAACCAACCCTCCTCTTCAAACTGGTACAAGGAGAAACCCTTCTTAGTTTTTCCGCCAGTTAGGTTCGTGTACTTTGATGACGACGACGAAGACGATGATGATGATGGTGGTTTGGATTTTATTGGCATAGACGATGATGACGACGACAACGATGGTGATGTTGATGATGAGGATGACGACGAAGATGATGATGATGATGACGACGACGAAGATGATGACGATGATGGTGATAAAATATTTGATAATATTATCGAAGACGGTTTAATTAACGATGGTGCTGTTGCGTTTTCTGTTGATGATGATGACGATGAGGGTGATGGTAATGATGACGATGGTGGTAATGATGACGATGACGAAGTTGTTGTTGATGTTTGTTGATCTTTTCCATGAGCGCCGACAACATTGGAGTTCTCTTCATAGCGATCATCATCATCATCATTACCACCACCACCAGCGGCATCATCATCATCATCATTTTCTTCATCAGTATCACCATCATCATCACCGTCGTCGTCGTTCTGGTTATGGCCCAGACGACCATCATGACTTTCATTATCATCTTTAAGAGTAATTGTTGACGGCTGAGATGATGATGATGATAACAAAAGTGATGATGATGATGGTGATGGCGATGATAATGATAATGATGACGCAGGCGATGATGATGATGATGACGTATGTGGTGATGATGATGGCGATGTTTTGTCCTTGAACACATCCATTGTAATATTTTTTTCACAGTTGCTTCCTGTCATTATTTGTTTTTACCATTTTATTCATTCATTTATTCTTTCATTCATTCATTCATTATTTGTTTATTCGTTCGTTCGTTCATTCATTCATTCATTCATTCGTTCGTTCGTTCGTTCGTTTGTTCGTTCATTCGTTCGTTTGTTCGTTCGTTCGTTTATTAATTCATTAATTAATTCATTCATTCATTCATTCATTCTTTCATTCATTCATTCCTTCATTCATTCATTCATTCATTCATTCATTCATTCATTCAATCATTTATCCATCCATTCATTCATTCATTCATGCACGTACCTTTTTCGCATGCTTTGACTTTCTCGTTGGTTTCTATGTAATTATTTCCATAACCACCATCATCATCATCATCTTCGTCGTAATAATAATCATCACCGGTTTTGTTATCATCATTATCAAGATTATTATTATTATTATTATTATTAGTAGTAGTAGTAGTAGTAGTAGTAGTAGTAGCAGTAGTAGCACTCGTTTTTGAAGTTTGGTCAATATCATTCAAATTATTGATAACATTTTCATTATCATCATCATTATCTTTGTTATTTGTAGCAGTAGTAGTAGTAGTAGTAGTAATAGTAACGGTAGCAGTAGTAGCAGTAGTAGTAGGAGTAGTAGTAGTAGTAGGAGTAGTATCAACATTATTATCGTTTATACTCATATTAATATCCTTATTATGATCCGAATCAAGGTCAACTTTTAGGGCATTGTTACCAGTAGCAGCTGATTTCATGACGACATCATTACCAGGATTATCTACTCTACCCCCACCACCACCAACACCATCATCATTACCATCATCACCATCATCATCATCAGTAGCATCAGTAGTAGTAGTAGCAGTGGCAGCTTTCACATCGTCGTCATCACTTTTGCTATAACCGCCAGAAATGTTATTATTGATATCTATCTTGTTATTATTATTAATATGTTTATTATTATGATTATTATGATTATTATAATTATGATTTCTATTATTATTATTATTATTATCTTTATTATTATCATTATTATCATTGGTTATTTCAACATCACGGCCAAATGAATATCTTTCATCATCATCATCATTATTATTATAACTATAATTATTTTTATAACTATAATTATTACTATTACTACTATCAACACCGTTGTTATGATCATCATCATCATCATCACCGATATCATTATCAGCCTTCTGTAGGGGTGACGATGATGATGATGGTGGTGACGAAGACGATGATGATGATGAAACATCGCTATAAGCGCTCTTCGGATTAGCATGATGATGATGATGAATAATGTTTTTATTGTTATTATTATTGTTTATATTATTATATTTGTTATTATTATCATTATTTTCGTCGTAATTATCATCATTGTAATGATCTAGTTCATTATTATTATTATTACTATCCGGATTGATATCATTATCATGATATATATCATGTTGATGATGGTGATGTTGATGGTGATGATGATGA